TGTAGTCGAACGTGTTCGCGATCCAACCGATCAAGTACCGAACTCACGGCACCTCAGCGATCTGCACACGTTCAACTCGGTGACGTCCCTTGAACTCTAGATCCAGCTGAGGCCGAGGGAGAGTTTTGTCAGCATGACGGTGTGGGGACAGTGATGATGAAGTTACCGGCGCAGGGCTTCACCTAAGCACTACAACGATATGACCGAGGTAGAAAACTGTGGAGGGGGGCACCACACACGGCTAAAAGATCAACTTGTGTATCCTTGGGGTGCTCCCCTCCCCCGTATATAAAGGAGGGAGGGAGGAGGCAGCCGGCCTAGCGGGTGCGCCAAGCATAGAGAGTCCTACTAGGACTCCCAAGTCCTAGTAGGATTCCCTCTCCTATTCGGAGTAGGAGAGAAGGAAAGAGAGGGAGAGGGAGAAGGAAATGGGGGGCTGCGCCCCCACCCCTTGTCCAATTCGGTTTGGGAAGGGGGGAGGCGCACGCCACCTCTTGGCCGTTCTCCCCTCTCACCACTAAAGCCCAATAAGGCCCAGTACTTCTCCCGGTGAATTCCGTAACTCCCCGGCACTCCAAAAAATACCTGAATCACTCGAAACCTTTCCGATGTCCGAATATAGCTTCCAATATATCGATCTTTACGTCTCGACAGTTTCGAGACTCCTCATCATGTTCGTTATCTCATCTGGGACTCCGAACAACCTTCGGTACATCAAATTACATAAACTCATAATACCAATCGTCATGGAACATTAAGCGTGCGGACCCTACGGGTTCGAGAACTATGTAGACATGACCGAGACACATCTCCGGTCAATAACCAATAGCGGAACCTGGATGCTCATATTGGATTCTACATACTCTATGAAGATCTTTATCGGTCAAACCGCATAACAACATACGTTGTTTCCTTTGTCATCGGTATGTTACTTGGCCGAGATTCGATCGTCGATATCATCATACCTAGTTCAGTCTTGTTACCGGCAATTCTCTTTACTCGTTTCGTAATGCTTCA